ACCAAATTTTGAACTTGATTCAAACAATACAATTCAACACATACCACATAAAGGTAAACTTGTTTTAGTGTATGCATATCAAAATTTTTACTAAATACCAAATGCTTAGCAATGCATATGATGACATGTCCTGTTTTTAGTATTTAAACACCCGGGGTGTTACATTGTGCCATCTCTTTTTATTCTTCTTCTTCTTGGCAGGCTTCTCCGGTTCTTCAATTGGCTTTGGTTTCTTCACCTTGATTCTCTTCTTCGGGTATTTCTTCTTTTCCTGTTTCTCATCAAAGAGGGGTTGTTGTCATGGGGTCAAAACCATGGCAAGCATTGTTGTTCGTGGTAGTGTCAGAGTACGTGTCTTCGAACCATGTTACCACCTGGGAACGCGATCGTGGCCCGACCACGATCGGAAAACCACAACTAAACGAGCTAAGGCGTGGTCGAGGGAAGGACACACAAGCAAAGGTCGACCTACACATCATTTGTGGAGGAAAGCCGACAACTCGCTCTAAAGTCACGACCCCGAACTAGCATGCCCAACCCCGGCCTAAAGGCTCGAGGGCTCGTCGTGACCTCAAAACAGGATGCCTGAGAAAGAGAATCTCTTTTTCCATACAATCACAAGTACAAGTGCGGCCAACCCGCACACAAAGTACAAAGGTAGGAACCACCACAGGAGTGGCATCACTGGTAACCCTAGAAGCCCTTGCTGCATGCACGAAAGGACAAGGTGGAAAAGAACACCACGCTGACCTCATAGCACCACGGCTCCTAGGGCGCAGAATGTATGGGGACTTATGAAGGTCGCACCAGCTCAAGAACGTCTCAATGGGCATCGGTGGGCTTTCAAACGCACCACCGGGGCATGCACAGAGGGTCATGGAGGTAGAAAAGAACCATCATATCCATGATGGGGTTGCTTGACCTCCAAAGCGTTAGTGCACCACAATCATATCCTCCGCGATGAAGCTGGCGTGGTGAAACCATCCTCAGCCAATGACCGTGACATGCACCCAAGCCTATAGGGCTTAGGAAATGACGAAGTCGCATGGGTATAGGACCGACGACAACACCATCTCATCCTCCCCTGCTCGCAAGTGCCCTTCTAGCACCAGCTGCTGGATATGGTGATGATGGCCTCTGGCCAAGGCAGTCAACTCCTAGCAGGTCGCATGCTCGAAACCTCCGCTATCTACTAAGAAAAACACTCTTTTTCTCAAACTTAGCCTCTTTTAAAAAGTCTAGGAATAGTTTGAAGGCGTGGTTGTGAGTAGTTCAAATGGAAGGAAGGCCCTTATTTATAAGCCCAAGGGCGGACTGAGCAGCCTAAGACCCCTATGTCGCTTGGCAAACAACGAGAGGTCACAACCAATGTCAGGAGCCCGCGTGAGGTTGGGGAAATCGAGATCCTCCAAAAGAAGGAGTCGGTACAGCATCGACAAGACCACTCAGCTCTGTCTAGATCTCATACCCCAGCATGTAGCACCCTACAATGGCAAGGCTTGGCAGAGTAGTTGCGTACCAGACCATCAAGGCGACTTGATAGGACAGGTCATAACAGCCACCTACCGCATTGAACACTCTAGCCCTCAAGGGGTCGAGCTCCAAGCTCGGACCAGCCACAACCTCGAGCCCACGTTCAACACACATAGACATCAGCATCCCCATGACCACTTCACAATTGTGGAGACGCTCGGGGGCTACTGTTGGGGTTATGATACCCCGGGTATCTCAAGATACCGATTAGTTAGCCGCCTAGATGGCCCATGACAACTAAGCTAGCATAAGCCCAACAATCGTGGCCCATCTAAGCCACGCAGACCTAGGCCAAGCACCAAGGCAAGGGGTCAACCATGACCTCTCCCTTCTCCTTTCACTATGCGCAACACAGCACCGCACGACCTCTCCTTTGTCCTGACCCTAGAAGGAACGAAGGGAGGTCGAACTCCATCAAGTACGCCTGCTCTGACAACGACAGGCATGCCTCACTCACTCCATTAGGACTAAGGGGACAACTATCCCCTCATACCAGACAAACGCCATCCTTGCGCCACGCCGCACAAACAAGACAGTGTCGCTAGGCGGTGACGACCAGTATGGTGACCCGCCGTCCAAATATGGCCCGACGAGATGGGCGTACGGCCCCACCCACTATGGGATGGGGCTCATAGCTATGGCCTTGACTTCCAAGGCCAACCAAGCCAACGAGGGCCTCAACCCCGTAGCTCAGGATTGAGGCTACCAGCTCCATGACTAGCAAGGCGACCAACGACCCAGAGATAGGTACCTACTCCCTCACTGTCGCCATGACGCCCTCTGGGAGAACATGAAATGGTGACAAAGGCCACGGCGAGACCACGTCGCAAAGGACAAGCTGGCGAATCATCATCGTGCCAGTAGTGCCATCACGACCGATACTGTAGCATCACGCCACACCATGCTACGACGTGGGCACAAGACCATGACGGCAACCACGCCCGGACGTACGCTAACGCCAGGACAAGATGGGCTTCCTTGCAAGCCAAGATAGCTGGTTTCCCCTACCTCAGGCTCACGACCACTCGGTCGAGAGAACCTATCTCTCTGTATGTAACTTGGCCCCAGACTCTATATAAGGGCAGCCAGGGCACCCTTCCAAGGGGACAGACTTTCGAGACTTCATTCGGATAGTCCCTCTCCACTCTCCTACCTCTTTCTCTCTTCTTGCATGCCCCATTGTAAGAACTTTAGAGCATTCAACCGAGGAACACGCACTCGAACTATCTCTAAGACTGGACGTAGGGCTCTGACCTGAACTAGTATAATTCTTTGTGTCTTTGGATGCTACCATCGTCTTCCTAGAGCAGCGTGACACACGTATAAATTCACTCGTCGGGTGACAAAACACCGACAGTAGCAGACATGCAATTATCTTAATTATGTTATGTTAATTATTATGATAGTGAGAATTTGCTTATTATCATGCCTGTCCATTGCTTTATTATCATTTTAGTTTTCTTATGATGTGTGCGCCTACGCTCGTAACTGTATCGACGCATGGATCTCTTCGTTCTTCTCTTTCTTTCTTCGTTTGTTTTGTTTTCTTGTGGGAGGAACCGCCGCCGAGGCACCGCCAGGTACGAGATAACAAAGCCATATCATACGATGGTTCCCAAATACAAACCAACACTCCACCAGCAACAAGGACTAGCCATAGACCTGGAGACCAAGAACGATGCAGCACCTCGCAAAAACTTCACCCTCAGTGAGGTACTCTACCTTCCATCTTGCAACCCTCACGGTCAAGGGATACAAATCTGCTTCTTGACTATGAGAGATGAAAGATGGTATATAAACCACCCAATCTTGAAGAAGGAGCACCTCACAAACTTGAACCCCAGCACCATCTCAGTGAGGTGCTTTATCTCACGTCTATGTAGCCAAGGCAAATACTACGACACTTAAAAAATGGAGGGGAGTAACTAGCATCATAGCTATTTAGTTATTAATTGTTTTAAGGCAAAAACTATATATAAATGACACAATAACAAGCATCACAACCACATGAGGGAAATTTTCATTGATAACTTACATTCCACAGTTGTACAATAACAAAGACCTATCAAAGACTACTGGGTGTACAATAACAAAGACCTATTGATTGATAAACTCTCGAGTATGGAGCCCAACAGAAGATCTACAATCATCAAGGTGCTCTCCTGTTGAGCACCCTGATGACCTACTAGGCCACAGATAAGGAGAGCAAGGACGAGGCAGCACCACACAAAACTTCCACCAGCATCTCAATGAGGTGCTTTTATCTTCCTTGTTACACCTCTAAGTGTTGAGAGAAAAGCAATGGAAAAGTGGAAGAGAAGCACCGCCGTCGTCACTGCTGCTCCAGAGGAAGGAGGAATGCCTGGGTGTTGGAACACTGATGAACTAGCACCAGCAGTGACCCCCTTAATCGCAAAACTTCCACTAGCACCTAGATCGAGCAGCCCCCACTACACCTAGATGCCGGTTGTACCTAATCTTGAAGGCCTTCTCCCAACGCCGCTACTGCCGCTGGACGAATTGGACAAGGAGCGCCATGGCGATGAAGAAAAAAAGATGGTTGGATCAAGAGCTTTGTCGATATGTATCTGTTCTAAAGGGTTCAAGGAAGACGAGTGTGTGGATTGCCCAAGAGGTGCATCCAGAGCCGACTTAAATAGGCCAACCTTGAAGATAGAGAAGCAGAAAGGAGTAGTTAAGATGTGTGATCTAGGCATACGCATTAGGGAAGATGAGGTACGACGGTTCCCTATAGAAGTGGTGAGATGGTGTTGAAAGTTGGGACATTCAACACTCACGCTAAATTTACCGCTGGTAGACCAAATGGTCGTGTAGGGCCGGTGGCCATAACGCGTATCTCAGTCGGCTCAATGTTCCAACAACGATGGAATTCAACCCCACTGGCACCGCTGTGTCGATGGCTTAACTATTGGTGCTAGAAGTTTTATCTCCCGGTTTGATTCCTTTCCAAGCCTCACCATCGATCCAACCAACGGTGGAAGCATCACACCGTCACTTCTGTCTTCTACGGCTGTGAAACTAGTGACAGTGATCGCTCAATCTATAGTAGTGCTTCTCCATATCTTCTACACTAGTAAATGAAACAAAACCTCCTCCCCTCTTTCTCATGGTACAATTTGCATGCTCATAAGGCTAAAAAAGTCACCACAAGCACACAAAGTTTTTCATCGCATTTTTCATGTGAGTCACTAAGTGGTGGACCCCACAAGCCATAAAAATAAATGGGCCTAGAGAAAATATTGCTAGTTTTACCACTCTAAGCGAGTAAGTGCATTTTCATCTAGTAATGGACGGTACATCACATGAAAATCAAGAACCTAAAGAAAAGCAGAGCCAAGAGAGCCTTCTCTCCTCAACATCTACCCCTTCCACCTCCTCCCACCCCAAATCTCAAACCTAGAGCACCGAGGACGCCAGATCTGCTCTCCTCTTCCTTTGTCCCGACCATGCGGATTCGTAGTACAATATCTCGCCTCCTTGGGTCCGCCTACTCTACACTCGTAGCTCCACCTCCTGTGCTCCTAGCGCCACCACCGAACCTAGAACCGTGTCCGGCGCCGCTCATATCTCAGGATCTTGGTGGCTTCTCGAACCCTGCTACTACCCTCGAGGGTCCCTGCAATCTTAGTCGCTCACCATGGGACCTCTTGGATGATCTCTCCCTCTCCAATCCTCAGGTCAGCATCTTCCTCTCCTACCATATCTTCCTACTCTCTCCAACTAGTACTCCAGTCTTGGTGATTCTATGTGTGAAGTTCATGTTTTCCCAAGCATGCTACTATTGAGAGGTCTTTATGGTTCTGGCAGCTTTTGGGGTTTGGTTTATTTTTATCTCTAGGGTTGGTCGATAGGTTCAAGCTGGAGGCCAGCGAACTATACCGATAGGAGGGTCCCCCTGTCTAGCTTGGATCTATGCTACTTTTTCTATTCTTTTAGTCTTTCTTTGTGGTGATTTAGGCGGGCTATGTAGGAAACATTGAAATCACTAGAGTGGAGGCATTGTCAAACTCTAGATCTATGTCCCCTATGCTAGCAAAGTAGCAGGCTAAACATTGTTATGCGTGATGATGACTTGTTACTTTTTTGTTTATTTACCTTCTTTTTTCCATTTAGGAGGTGGATGACCTCCTTGACAGCTATTGTGTCAATATGGACTCCTATGCAAGCCACCTCTCCTCAACTAGCATGGCGGTCACCTCCATGAAGAATAAGGAGATGACGGCCATGGCCATAGCTAGTAGTGACAAAGCGCAACTACAGACATCGAAGAAGACAACATTGAAGAGGGCTACAATGAAGGTGAATAAAGAGGGATAGACCCAAAAGAATGCAAATGTGAAGAAAGAACAGGGTGAGGAAGGGCCATCACAGACCTGGAAGTGCAAGAAGAATGATGGCAGGGGTTGGAAGTGCCCTCGCAATGTAAGCCGCCCCAACTCCCTCTGTGAGTACCACTTGATGAAGAAGTGTTCCTATTTAAACCCAAAGTTTTCTTCGCCAATGGTGGAAGATAAGGTGATGGTGGCAGCACCAATAGCAACCTCCAAGCCCTCTAGCAGCTCCAATGGACAAAAGAAGAAGCCTGCCAACAACTATGATGCAACTGAGGGCTTCTACTACTACAATGGGTTTGGCCCGTCTCACGGCAAGAGGCATTGCAGGAACCATCCAAACAAAGAAGAAAAGGTGGAAGTGGAACCATCCAAATATGCTTCTCCTCTGAATCATGCCAAAGTTGAGACTGAGGATGGTACCAATAATGGGGCTACAATTGATGGTGATGATGTGTGCAGCAACAATAATAACTCTGGCCGTGACAACGTCAACATGGTGAGGAACAAAAACCCAAGGAAGCCAGTGAGGGTGTGGTCACTCATGTCGCTGTAAGCAAAAGTAGCTAGGTGCTTGCACATTGCACATCAATGGCACAAAGATAAAGTTTGCTTTGTCTATTTTAATTTGAGACTCATAGCTCATCCCCGGTATTGTTGTTGGTTTGGATTGGCTTATAATTTGTTTGACTTTTGCATCTTTATTTGCTATTTGTGGTAAAATAAGGCTACTACAGCATGTCTTTTGAGTTGTTTTGTCTTGATGTGTTCAACATATATTTAACAGACAACAGTTTAATTAAGAAGAACAATATGGTTGTTATTGTTTTCTTATGTTTATAAACAAATGCTAAAATATTGATGGAGCTTGTTTATGTGCAGATTTGTTCATGAGCTAGCAAATATGCCTAAACGTTTTTGACCGAAGTCAGGGGAAACCCCAACCTATTTTTTTTAAATTTTTTTATTCCAAATCTTTTTAATTCGCTGCCATGGGGAGTCGAATCCAGGCCTGCTGGATGCTACCGAGGTGCTCTAACCACTAGGCTAGAGGCTCTTTCGCAAATATGCCTAAACATCAGTTGGGTTGTTACAGCGACTCATCAGTCTAATTAGATAGGTCCTTAGATATGGCTCACATGGGCATTGCAAGGAAATTAATTGTTCAAATAAAGCATTTTTGGTGCCATGAGTTATATGCAAGATTAATATGGTGTTTGGTTTTTGAGGAACCACCTCGTGATGAGATGGTGTATCGCTTGCATTGGTCATCCCCTAAATTTGGTGGAATGATATTATCCCTCATATTTATACTATTTATTTAATATAATCTTATGGAATAATAAGGTGTCGATGGATCAACAGCCTGTTCGGTTGGCTGGTTCATATCGTTGCTGGTTCATGAAGAAGTACTGCTGGCTGGTTTGTGTAAAAGAAAAATACTGCTTTCTGGTTAGAAATTTACGATCGTTTACGACAAGCCACAACCAAACGAGCATGCTGCAACTCATCCAACTGTACAAGTCAAAAAAGAGTGAAGAGCCCGAAGGTAACAGTGTACTGCAACATTGGCTTTGTTACCCACAGCTGCATGTCTGGATGAGGTAGTAGTTACTCTGCTTGAGCCATGTCGCACGCTTAATTCAATCAGCATTCTTTTTAGTTTAGACGGTGAGCTCATTTCTCTTCCATCATCAAGCAGCAAACCCACAGAAAACTTCTGCATGCAATCATTGCCAAAAAATAATTCAGGCAGCTGATGCCGCTACCCTGTCTACGGTCTGTTCATGAATAGATGTGGGCCTATTCCTATTTGCAGCGTTGATAGGTCTCTTTAATATGGTCTGGGCCGTGGGTTTCTTCCATCACTAAATATCACTACATCTCTATCTCTACAGCTAAAAGACCCATATCCGAGTCTTCGCACCCTTAATCGCTTCCCATAACTAATCACCCCGCGTGGCCTCGGAAAAAAAAAGAGTATGTCTACTGTCCCAATTACGTGTTTTATACAGTTTCAACTCATAAATTTTTTCTTCTTCTACCTCCAACCTCTACAGATCACAGATCACATTTTTTTTTTTATGGAAGGACAAATGATAGATCCGCCGCCGCCGCCGGGGTGAGCTCGCCGGCGTCAGCGCAGGTGGTCACCGGTGAGAAAGAGAGATAAATAAAATCCATATATATATATTTTTTTTTGCTAAAACACGTTGTTGTATAGCATTTCTTGAAAAAAAAAAAAACGGACGGTTCTCTCCTGTCGCCTCGACCCACTCGCGCGGCCCCGCCCTACCCCCGACGCCGACATGCCTCCTCCACGCCATGCCCTAGTGCCTCCCAGCCCTCCCCACTGACGCCGGCGGCTTACCGCTGCCCTCAGCCATCCCGCACCCAGGAGCACCCACGCGGAGCATCCAGGAGCGCTCGTCCTCGCCATCAACGTCGCCGTCGCGAGCCGCGGTCGGCCTAGCAATGGCGGCGGCGAACTTGCTCGCGAGCCGCGACCTTGGTCGAATCACCGACGCCCACGCCCACGCCCACGCCCAGGGCGCAGCCTCCGGCGACTCCGCTGCCGCCGCTGCCTTTTCGTCCGGCCCCGGCGCCAGCCCCCGGCGTCTCCTCCCGCGACGCCTCCCCTGATCTCCTCTCCGGCGCTCTCCCCGACCCAGAAGGCCGCTCCTGTACTGGCCCCGGCGCCCGGCGCATCACCGACGCCCGCGTCAAGGCCGACCTCGCGCCGCCCCATCCGCTCCAGTCCACCATCCAATCGGCAACGACACATCGCTCTCCTAACGCTGAACAGGCGGAGGCGTACGGGCTTGGGTCCGTGTCACGTGCGAGTACGGCTTGATCTACTCCGACGGTGGGAGTGGCTGGTGGTAGTGGGGTGCGGCGGTCAGCCGCTGGCCGTGAGGGCAGGACAGAACTGGCTCATCGGACAAGGGCATTGGCAATGAGGTAACGCGCAACAGGTGTTCGATGAAATGAGCGGGCATGCAATTTTAGGTTTGGCTTCGACTGTAGTTGTGCCGATGGAGCAGCTGCGTTCAAGTGCAAGATGGCTCAGTTGTGCCATTGGTTAGAAAAATAATATGGAAGCTTATCCTCTTTTGTTTACGATCTAGCTGAATTTTTGGCTAAAGAATTCTCTGTGCACATGCTTTTCCCGGATCTTGATAACTATGCAGGGATACATACATATTGAAAAATTATTTGTTGTAGCTGTGTAAAGAACATTAACTTTGGGACAATTTCCAAGCATACATGAAAAGGAAGGAGCCTGATCTAAAGAAGCAAAAGGAACCTCTTCTACAGATGTCACAGCTGCACTTGCCAATCGTTATCACCTCAAATTTACAACTAAGTATGTTTCTTCCCTCTGGTTTCTTTGTAAGCAGGTAAGAGTGAAACATAGAAAAGGGTGCTGGAGTTTTCTGCCATATGTTTCTGAAGATACCCTGCCTGCTAGGCTCTAGAGTTAGATGTAAATAACTTTTCAATGTTTCTAAATGCAGGATGAAAAGACAAGGCTCTAAAAATTATTGCTATTGTAGAAAACTGCCCTGGTGGTATGTATGAAAAGACAAGGCTCCAATTTGCACATGCAGGAACTGTTATTCCTTTTTACTTCCTTCCTGGTCTCTTTCTTGAAGGCTCAGGTATGTTTCCACCTCTTTCGCTTAGTCCAGTTCTTGAAATCCTTCCTCTGAATTATATGCCTTGTTTGACACATTTATCAGGATTACAAGGCTCCAATTCGTTACTGTATGTTCTTTGTTTATTTTCTTGCTGGTTGCCACAGGGTGTTGCTTGATGCCTTGGCACCATCGACATCTTCAAGGAGTTCGGGGAGGACGCCAAGGTCTAAGACCGCAAGAGGGTCGTCATCATCGATTGGTGAGGAGAGTGACCAAAAATATTTGTTTAATATAACTTACAATTCAAGGCAGATGGGAATCAGTTAAATATTATTGTTGATTACACTGACTTGCATTTCATTATAGAACAACAATAATAGAAACATTGAGTGTCATATCCAGTATTTCAGTTAGCACTATATTTTCCTTTTAGTGAAACAGCACATGATAATGCTATTTTCATTGATTAAGGCAGGATTTTTTTTCTCAGTTCTGCCATGTACATCCAAATCTATCCAATATCAACACTGCCTTCATCAATGGCGCTCTTGGGCAACAAGCTCAGACCTGTAAGACCCACTAACCTACTCCCTTACTCTCTTAGTGCTCTTTCTCATTGCTCTAATTGTTGTGCAAACAGAAAACAGATACAGTAGTTGCTTCCACTACTGTGGTGTTATTATATGTATTGTACATAATGTACATTACTAATGGAAGGTAAGAAAAGTTTGGAAACAAAGGGAGAAGAAAAGAGGGGATAAAAAGACTCCAGGAGGGCCTAGAAGATTTAGCTAGGGGTTTGGCCCCAATAGAGAATTAGATATCTGGAAGGTTTTGAATTAGATGTTGTGAAGCATATCAAAGAAAGAAATTACAGTCCACCCTCAATGAAAATACCAAATTGTCAGCTCTTGCTGCCAACCCCATCAACGAGGAGCTCTACAGCTTCTGGTGGTGATTCAGAGGCCGCAAGTCCACATGCTGTAGTGCTCAGCTTGGTTAGCAGGGTCGAGGCTGAGAAGCCTGTGAGGCTGTGAGGTCGAAGGAGCTGGAGGTGAACCTGACGAGGTTCTTGTAAGGGCCGATGTCTCTGACACTGGTGTCCTGGCCGTAGTGTTCCTGCTACCCCCTCTCCTCCTTGGCCGCTGCCACTTGGTTAGGCCGGTGTCGATCATGAAGCTGAAGCTCCCGGCCCCTTCCAAAGGTTGCCATACTTCTCCAGCTCAGTCACGCATCCACGACGACCTGGGTAGCCTGATGAAGATGCAGACCCTCTTTGTAGCGATGATGACTGTAGGGCTCTTTGTAATGGGCTGGAGGATCACGATCTTGAAACACTATTTATCAGTTTGAATTATGTGTTTTGGTATTGATTATTTGTGATGCCATGAGATTTTACATATGTTCTACCCGTAGCAACGGGCACTCAACTAGTATAGTACATACAAGGCATGTAGGCGAGCTATGTTGCGCCTGCAGTGGCCCAATACAGTTCTGTTAACTATTGTGGGCAAGGATAAAGCAAGTGACGGTTTGCATTTAGGCTGCTCCAGGCTGACTCTCAGTGTCGTGGCAACGCCTTCTTTGCTCTCAGGTCTGACTGCCATAACAGTTTATGTACGGACTAATAATGCACTATGCTGCACCCATAGAACAAAGTATAACAGTTGACACATGTACTGAAGATGTTAATGGTTCATAATTAGATATATTCAGCGATTAAATGTATGTAGAATATGGTCTAGATAACAGGAGCATAATCATAATGCACAACATTGGAGGTCACCTATATAAATACAAATAACAATAAGATTATCTCATCTTGTTGAAGATCGATTACAGGTTCAGCAAATGGAGCTGTGCTGGAAAGCACCAAGTTCTTTCATGTGGTCCAAAAATCCTATAAAGAAAAAGA